AGCGAGTATCGCAGCACATTCCTTGGATATCTTGGCTTGCTTCAAGAAATCCTCCCCGACCGTGGCATCCGAAGTGTCTGCTACCGGTAGCACCGCCAGGCATGCCAGGAGAAAGATATACAGGTACCCGTATGCATACCGGTATGCATAGGTGTATCGGTACGAGCAGAATTTGTGCTTCATTCTCGTCTTCCCTAAGATACAGAGAAACAAGAGGAGAGTACTAGTACTTCAATAATGTAGCATGCAGCTTAGTGCGGCATGTACAAATGCGAGAGAATGAATAGCAGTTTCTCAAACTGAGGTTTTCGTGTGAACTTGCTTGTCCGCCGTCCGCATCATTGGCACCTACTATGTTTTGATAATTCCAGGAGATTTAACCCAAATGATCCAAAGCATTAACGAGTCTCTGATACAACTGTACATGTACGCAACGATTGCAGACTGCGGACCGCTTTGCTTGTGCTACGCTCCGTCAAAGATCTGGAAGGCTGCTTCAAAACGTCCTGCCTAGCTCTAGCTAGCCAGGTAAACGCAAAATACCGCACACTGTGACTGTGCCGATACGGTAGGTACCGGTACCAAGTATCTTATGATCCACAATCCTCCCGTACGGTACCGGCATAACTCCTCTATCTATACGGGGAGCTACGGAATGTTGGCAACATGGCAAGTTTGATGTACATGTACCGGTATGTCCCCCTGAAGCAAGTTGCGTACAATGTTTGTAAATGCACCAAGCAGCATGGTACGGAAGCAAGCTGAGAACGCAAAGCACGAAGCACCAACGACCTCATCCTCATACTCTTTCTTTCTTGGGTAAGATTCAACAAAATAGTCAAGTCGCAGCTCTGTTGGCCATGTGCTGTTTAGTCTTGATTGGTTACTAGTACCACTACTTGGTCGTTGTTGTGGTTGATTCGATTCTACTGTAGTAAGCTGGTAACTGGATAGTCATTCAATCGCAGTCACGGGTCATTTTCGGTCCACGACTGCATTGGAACGGGACCGAGGATGCTTGGAACAAGACCAACGATGCTTGGAACGGGACCGAGGATGCTTGGAACACGACTGATTCTGGTTTTTACCCTCCCAGTGCACATCATGTTGTGGTGTGGGTTGGCTTGGCTCATCAAAGCAATCGGTCTCACTAAGGTACAGTCGTAGTAGATCTACCGGGGCGGTGTGGTACGCTACCGTCGTAGCTCAGCAACCAACTTCGAGTGGTGCTATGCTTTGGTGGTTGTGACGTTTCTGAAAATGTGAGAAGAATATTTCACTCACGCGGAAGGTTCCTGCAGTTCCGTTGTTAAGAAGACCGGCGTGCTGAGACTTGCTTTCATTGTTTGGCAGTTCGGCAACTGTGTCTTAAGTGTGTAAGATGGTTCAACAATTAGGAGGTAGGACATTTGTGTTTTGTTGGGTTCTCATTTTGTTAAAGCTTTAGCTGAAGTGTTCACTTTGGTTTGGACTGGTTGAATAAGCACACACCGCACGATTGCACCACCGAGCGACCATCTCCCCAAGCGCCACAAGGCCACAAGTCAAGTTGAGGCAAGCAAGTCAGTCTTGACAAACAAAAGTCATCATCATCACCATCATCATCAAGTCCTGCCTACTAGTACCTCATACACTAGCTAGTAGTAGTAATAGAAGAGAGAGGAAGATAGAGAGAGACCATGGCGAACAGCCGCGACTTTACTACTATGAGCACTTCTACCGGTAGTACTCCTTCTACTATTAATAGTGCTTCTGCTTCTGCTTCTGCTTCAGCCACTTGTACTGTTGGTGCTTCGGCTGCTGCGAGCGACGATGCTCCGCGTAGACCTCTACGGCATCTCTCTACCAGCACCATTCACAGTGCCAACAGCTCCAGCACCAGTAATAGTACTATCAATAGTAGTACTAGTACTAGTAATAATAATAGCGTCGGTGTGCCACAGCAGCAACAGCAGCGACAACAAGAGACAAACTCAAATCAAGGCAACCGAACTCAAGTCAACGTTAACCTTAACCCTAACTCCATCCAAGGGGTTACTCTGGGAGTTGGGGTTAATCCAACGAGAGCGAGAACCCAGGCCAACTTGGACAACTTTTGCTTGCCAGGAGCAGTCAAAGAGCCCAATGCTGCTCTGGCTCTTGCAGGTACAGGTACAGGTGCTGCAGATGGTCCTCCAGTAAGGCCAGACCCAAGCCCTAGCATTGCTACCAGAGATCAACCTGAACCTATGCCTGCACCTATACCTGCACCTATACATGTAGACAAGCCACCCACCTTGGCCAACCGAAAAGTCACTGCTGGAACTGCTGTCTCAGGGCTATCTTCACCTCATACATGTACTAGTACAAAGCTCCCTCCAGTCAAGGAATACACCAGAAGACTTGGTGACCCACCCACCAATCACAATCACAATCTCAACCACATACCAGTACAAACCCCTTACTACCACGCTGCAGCTCCTCTTCCAACTCCCACTGCTAGCACTAGTACTGGTACAGGTACTGGTAGAGCCACACAATCCGTGGAAGACTCGGGCTGCTCCATCTACCTAGAAAGCAGTACGGCCGTTTCTGAAATCACTAGTCCAAGTGCACTCTACAGTCTCAATAGTCATCGCATCAGTACTACTGGTATTAATAGTCAGCAAAGTCAAAGTCAAAACAGTAACCTCACCAGCCATAACAGCCAAACCAACAGCCACAACAATCTCAAACCTCCACCATCCACGCCAGAACGACAAACACAGCGAGCCAGAGGTGCCCCGCTCTCCCCTGTCGCACCCATACAGATGCCTGCTCATACCAGCAAAAGTCGAAAACAACCTCCACCGCCTCCTCCGCTACAAACTACAACAACACACCAACCCATACAGGTACAACAACAACAACAACAGCAGTGGCAACAAAGCTGGCAAGAGGAAATCGAACTGGTCGCAACCGAGAATAACCAACAACAACAACTTCGACCACGCGTACAGGCAGCAGATCCTCCCGTATACGACCCGTCCGATGATGACGGCGTGTTTCGGGAGGAGGACGAGGAGGAGCATCTTGTCGACGCAAACAACAACAATGAATTGATTCCAACATCATCTCATCACCAAAACAGTATTCCAAGAGCATTTAATGATCCCCCGCCTACCAGTCCTAACGGATTTCACCATACTAGTGCTAGTATTCAAACACTAGAAAGGAGTCCTTCCAGTCCTGATCCTCCTGGTGGCACCATTGACCCACCCGACGCCAATGGTCTATCCCAACTCAGTCTCCCCTTCTCCGAACGCAACAGTGACTACGCTACATACCACAACTCAAACTCAACCATGAGGAGTGACCGACGTCACAACGACGACACCCATCATGACAGTCGAGACTTGTATGGAACACTAGTCTTTGAAGATGAATCAGCTGCATCCCAGCTCACACTCCCAGTCGTTTTGGCGCAACAACCACTCACTGGGAAACCATCAGAGCAGCAGCAGCGCTTGTCAGCAGCCTCGGCACATCAGCCGCAAACTACAAGTCAGGCGCTGCGGCCTCCCGTCCAACAGCACCAGCGACCAGCTTCACACCATCATCCTACCACTAAGAGCAAACCGAAGAAGAAGAAAGAGGCTGTTCTCTGGTTCCGAGACCTCGATACAGGAAAGGTGTCCACTGCACCGCTACAGAAAAAGAAGAAAAAGAAAAAGACGGAACTGCAGCCCTTGGAAGCTGCTGCTGCGGATGGAAACGGGAGAGTCGCCAGGTACAACCGGAGCTCCCCCAACGGTAGGGGTGATGACGATGACAATGACGACAGCAACAACAATAACGCTCCTTCACCCACCGAATCCGCTCCTGCAAATGACACTGAGAACAACCCTGGCAACGACAACAGCAGTGGGCCGGCATTGGTGCAACAGAACAGCCGCCATACTCTGGAAGAAAGACAGGAGCAAGCGGCTAGACAACCACAGGACGACCAAGAGAAGCAAGGAAAGAAACAGTCAGGCGAGAAGAAATCCAGACGGCGCAGCAGTTCCCCGCCGAAGCAACATCGTCGATCTTCTTCACCCTTGTCACCACGAAGATTATCAACGTCTTCTTCTTCGTTTTCCAAACACGGCAAGAAGAAGGGAAAGAGGCGCAGCAGCCACAGAGACCACGACCCCCTTGCCCCTCCTCGTGTGAACGGCGAAGCCGAGTTTGACGCTTCATTTGAATTGGAAGATGAGGAGGCATGTATGAGGGACTCTCAAGGCCGCAAGTTGGTGACTCGCGAAGAGAAGCGAAAGCAACTGCAAGCCATTCAGGACCAAAATGCACGGTACAGAATGTTTTTGGCTGCGCTGTGTGTTTTCATGGTGATTGCGGTCCTGGTGGTCGCCGTTGTGGTTTTCGCCACCATGCAAAAGTAGCACTACTAGACTACATTCACGACGATGAGAGTACGATGGTAACCTACCGTACATGTCCAACCGGGCCTGCGGAGCTAGACTGCTAGCTTGCTGGCGCATCTCACACATGTACGCAGTCCACCAAGCAACAGCTTCTGGAGTACCGCTGCCTCGACGCCTTCCAGCTTGGACGATACAGAGTACCATGGTACTTGATTCTTGGAAGCGTGCCTTCCTTATAAAGTAGGACACACACAAAGGACACGAAAAGCAGCTGCCGCATTTGCAGCGGAACAAGATTGCTTTCTGACTATTTGGGTCCTTCTTTGATCGTTGCCGGAACCAAGCTTGGATCACCAATGCCAACACATGTATACAGAGCTACAGTTGTTGGTTTTTGCTTGACCGCAAGGAGGATGCGTGGATGCGGGAGTAGCTGTCTAGTACGGTAGCCCGTAAGCAGAGGAGAAGACCTTGGCTTCCCCCTCTACCGGTTCTCTTTATTTGCTTGGAGCCCTACAGTAATCTTTCCCATACTCAGTCCAGTAGCTTTTAGCTTATAGTCTAGTTTCCGTTGTGCGTTCCATGGTTGGCTTTGAAAGTGATTCGTTTCGGAGTGAGAAGCAAAACCCAGACCCCGGCAGGAAGTGCCTTTGGTCATCATACTAGCTAGACTACTAGAGTAGTGTGGTCAACCGGTGGGTGGTGTTTTATTACTGCGCTGTTGCGTTTCTACGGCTGGCGGGGTGCAGGCAACCAGACACATGTACATGTAGGTGAGACTTTTTAGGCCGTTGGTGGTTGTCGAGCTAGCCAGAGCAGCTCTTCTTTGCATCACATACATACCAATTTTGTATTAAAAATGTGGCTGGTACACTGTATCATAGCTAGCATACTCTAGCGTCTATACGGTACCGGTACGGTACACGTGGCTCATGTGCCTTCATCTTGCAATTGGGGTAGCCACTTCCGACAATGTCATCATGAAAGCATGAAAGCAACGATCACCTTTTACTTTTGGGAGCGCTGTGGCTGCTCTGCCCCTGCATCTTGGTTTGTGAGCAGGCGGTCGCAGGAAAAACTTTAAAAACTTGACCTGGATGGTCAGATTTATGCTTCGCCGTTCCCTTCCAATTACCCAGTAATCTGAATGATCCACTTGTACAGACTATTGTACAGTCAATGCTGAATGGTTCGGACGAGATGAAAAGAAGCCATTCTCTGCAGGGATGGCCAACTTGTGGGGGTTGATTCCATGCATTCATGCCATTCCTGCCGGTAATAACTGCATGCCACCGTGACAGCTGAAGAACGAATGAACAACATGGTTTCTGAGCTGCTTTGGCTACAAGGTTGCATGTAGCAAAGCAACACCTAGTTTAACTAACTACTCCAGTACCTGTACATGTAATAAGAGTTGAACAACGCTTCCGCTGGTCTGGTAGTTTTACCAGTAAGACCGACGACCGACGACACCAATGGTAAGCTAAAGATGATGTCTTGGAAGCGCGTGTTCTGTTCCTTTGCCGCTTCCATCATTATTTTTGTCCGCCCAAATTTTCACTCGGGTCCCTTCGATCATTCTATTCAAAAACAACAGTATTACATTTACTACCACTCTAGCTAGCTAGTAGCACTACTCGATCTCTCTCTGCCAAGTTCAGATCTGTTCAACAAGCAATAAGCCAAGATGAGCGACAACAATGACAACAATGACACTGCCAGTAGCAACAGCCAAGCACAAGCACAGGGACAAGAAGAGCATGTGATCCACCTGGTGGGAAGTTTTGCGCCGTTGTTTGGAGGCCGCAGTCTCTCTGATTGTTCGCCTGAAGATGTCTCGTCGTGTCGAGGAGGCGTTGCAGCCACGGCAGCGTTTCAGCGGTACTACGCGACTGAAGGCCCCACGTTGACGATGCACCGGCTGGACAAGCAGTCACAGTTCGTTCAAACGCATCCACTGGGCTGGGCCACGAACCGCCTCGTACTCAACGAGTACTACGGCTTTGACTTTTTCAGTTCCTCGCCTTCTCTGCTGCTGCAGCATAAGGACGACTTTATCGTCAGTCAACGTGACATTTCCGATTTGCAATCTCATTCGTTTCCTCTTGTACTCACCAATGCTGAGATCCCGCCGTCAGTCAGCTGGCATCCTTACGTACAACGCGTTCACTACGATACATCTAGTGGAACCAACTTGGCCATCATGTGCTTGGCAGGAAACGGCGAACCCATGAGCAGTCAAGATCAGATTGCGGCCGTTAGAACTGCGCTCAAGGACATTGCCAAGCAGAACGAACTCAGAGGCTGCGCCGCTACTCGTTCTACAAGTTTGTACGACAGATACCTACAAGACCATCCCGTACCACCGCACCACACCGGTTCTGATCGCACTATCACCACCGCAGTTGTCAACATGACCTGGAAAGAAGACACCACCGACAGCAACAGCAACAGCAACTGCTGGACTCCCGTCCTCTACTTGAGCGACTTCGAGCCAGATGTCTTTCAAGAGACGGTCGACGCCATGGCGCTTCTCGAATACCCCCCAGCTGCCGTCATTGATGGGGCTGGAAATGACGTCAATGCTACGTTTGCACAACCTCTGCAAGTCGTTACGCCCCATGCCATTCTTCCCTCTTCTTCCTCCATGTGGGTTAATTCCATGCGATACTCGGCCGGAGGATACTTTCAGCACACCATGACCATTCAACCACAGTCTGGGCGAATCTCCAACTTTACAAACACCATCCTGGACCTAGAAGATGATCTCACGGATGAAATGAAGGATGACCAGTACATGCAGGACATTGCGTTCATCCGGACCCTCGCAGATGAAGCTGAAGCCAATGATCCCATTGTTGGACTCTCTTCCGAAATGCCTGTGGCTCGTGAAGGAGACTACAGACGCTGCAAGGGAGGCGAATGCGAGCAAGGGAACCTGTTTGCAGATGCTCTTCGTTGGAAATCCAATGCTCATGTAGCATTCGTTACTTCGGGAGGATTGAGAGGCAGTGGATGGCCGGCAGGCAATGTCACTGTGTCAAACATTTGGAGTACTCTGGTAAGTTGCCAAGGACGCTGCAGGTAGATGGATGGATGGAACAGGAAGCACCACTTGCTCACACTTTTCGTATTGACTCGACTCTAGCCATTTCCAAATACCATGTGCCAGGGTGTCATGACCGGGGTCTCTTTATTCAAGCTGATTGACTATTCCATGGGCGCTGCCACTTTTGAATCGGGAGAAACGCAGGATGGGGGAAGATTGCTTCAAGTCAGTGGCATGAAGATCGTGTACAACACACAACTCCAAGAGCATCGGGTCATTAGCATTGACATTTGGGACGAACAAACTCAAGCATATCAACCCATTGAGCGCCTCAACTACTACTCCTTTGCGACCGATAGCTACCTCTGCGGAGCCTATGATCCCTATCCCTCACTCTTGGGAGAAGGGCTTGTGGTGCAAGGAGAAGTCGCCGGCATGATTTCGGATGATATTCATCAGAATATCGTGGGAGATTACCTGTCGTCACTCGATACTCCTTATCAGGCATCCCGCCAGGGGCGCTTGACAAATAACACTATGGCCACAGAACCGCTCAATCTGATACAAACACAAGAAGGATGTCCTTCCCAAACGCATTGGGTAGAAGCGTTGCAGTCTTGCTCCAAGTGCCCCAATTCTACACATGTTGCCTTTTCCGATGAACAACTCGAATTTGCTGCGGAATCAGGGGTGGCGCAATGGCTAGCGGGGCGCGTCCTTCTGGTTAACCGCGAGCTAGAGGCATTCCGCGTTGTACCAAAAAGCATTCCGAATAATTGGATGACACTGACGTGGGCGACTGGCCTCAAGCAGAACAACGGAACCGCGGTGGGTGGAAGTTCTCCGAATGAGGACCTGGAAGAGCATCTACAGTTGTCCGTGGACGGCGAGCCCACCCTCCTTCGACCGGGGGAGAGCTTGGCTCTCAATTTCGCTGTCAATGCCGAACACTTGGAAGCTGGTACAGCCTTGGGGACTGTTTCATTTGGGGTACTCGATGGGGGGAACTTTCCAGGCTGCGTGGACAATTCGGATGCTACATTCGACATTCTCATGCGAGTGACACCAAGCCCCGAGTTCAACCAGCTCGGCAACATGCGCTATGTCGGC